ATTTCTTTTGTCTTAATACACATGCAGTCAAGAGTCCTGCATAAAGTCCGGAAAACTTAGTGTTATTAAAACCCATTCCTGTTGTTCATACAGGACAGTATGACTGGTCTTAGTTTGTAGCAAAACTGGAATTATGTTCCTGAAAATATATCCCTCAAACCCCTGACCATCTAACTATGCCGTTCTGACTGGGTTAGGTTTCAGTATTTTATCATACTGCATTTCATTGCTCATACTATCTTAAAAGAAATCCTAGTACTTGGCTACAAGATTGTTTCTGTTTCAGTTTTCCCTCAGAGAAACATACTTTTCCCGTGTATTTGTAAAAAAAACCTCTTCTCTCCTAAAATTGTATTAAAACTTATTAGAAAGATTACAATATAAAACTTCACTCCTCAAACAACAGGCTCTTTTCCTCAAATTTTCCAAACTACTCTTAAAATCACTAGATCTTAAGACTGCTTTTAAAATGCTCTTCAAAATACTCCAGTCTCAAGAAAATCACAAACTCTGCCTGTTATAAACATGGTCTCAGTTCTAACTCATACATCTTGCAGAGAATATTTTTGTTAGTTTACTTCATTCCTCTATCTGCTTTGACTGCAAGAACTATAAAAGTCAAACTTTGCAAGACAGCAAATACTACAGATACAGCTTAACTTTCACTTAACTTTTAAAAAAAGGTGCTCTTCTACTAAAGTTCAACATGTATTAAATAAAGTTACCTAAAAAAAACCCAACAATTTTCTCATTAAGATCCAAAGAAAAACATTAAAGAGGCAGGACAGCGAAGAAGTTTCTTAAAAATCAGGACCTCCTAAGGTTTCAGAATTCAGGGGCAAAGAAGACCTGAGAAATTCCAGCATTTTTGTGAGTAGCTGCACTATACAATCATTAAATGTAATTGTAACTCTTAAGCCCATCAGTAAACTAGTAACTACATGGTCAAAATTAGTGATCCACAGGGAGACAGTTGTATGGGTGTACACACACAGGCCTTAGTGAATCTCTTCCTACAGGGTACCCTGAAATGTTCCAGAATACCTGGAATTAATGATGAATGTTACCTGTAGCTATATTTTCTTCCTTACAATACTAACCATTTAATAACATTTTAGATGGTAAACTTGCTGAACTGAAAGTTTTTGATATTTAGTCTAATGCATCTGCTCCTTAAATTCTGAGTAACACTAGACTGTATAGAGGAGTCCAGAGCTTTCTTTCTAGATTAAGTTTCCCTGATTTATTATATACTTTACTTTTACTAAATACGAACCCTGAAACCTCAAAGCCATCAGGTCTAATCAGCAGCAGACAAAAAATATGCAATCTGGACCAGTAAAGAAAGATGTTTGAATAAATCACACTCACAGGCCTGTGCTGTATCATTGACTTCAATATGTAAACTACATCAATGTAAAATAAATTTCACATTCATTTTCAAATCAGTAAAAATTTCAAAAATCTAAACTTCTTAAAAATCAGAGAATTAAAGTTGTGATGAAGTGCATTGAGCTACCAGTCACGACTCTCTACTGGACCAGTCACTGAAGCATTGCAATGAACTCATAATTTGGACAACATAAATTTTGACCTTGCAAAAATCGATTCTTATGAGTGTGCAGTGTTATTTCTTAAAATACAAGTGTTCTGAGGATTGGAATGAAGCTTATGTACATGTTACACTACACCGGTAAAATTAATTCAGGTGCAAGAACTTTATGATTTAGAGGTGTCATCCCAAATAGCTCTTTCACACCACAGTCACTTGCATTCAGTGATTGGATTCACTGATTTTGCTTACTTTGATCTCCAAGGGTTACAGTGACAGATGGTTAATGATGAGTTGCTACCAGCCTTGTTTGAGTAGGGCCTTCAGGTCCATCTACTCAAACATCTCCCGTTGCATAACCTCACCCATTAAGTGTGGGTTTTGTGACTGACATAGCATGCCTGCAGATGTTTGTCACATCTGTTAACACTGTTTTCCTGCCTGTATAATTTCTTCTATTTTGAGGTCTGAAATAAATCCCACAGGGCGAAGTGTTGCTGGTATTAACTACTTCTGTGTTAAAGCCTTCTCAGGAGACTTAGCTATACCAACAGGACTACACTGCTACATCTTGAAATTACAGACCTTCGTGAGACCTGATGGGCTTGAATGGGAACACTAGCAAAGATAAGGACGGTACCACACATAGTTGGCTTTTTACTTTTTTCACACGTTTCATTTTTGCAAGACTTCCATGTTTACTGCAATCTATTTCATGTTGACAAAAACATTTCTGCCTGCCTGTATGTGGGTGCTATATGTAGAGCATTCTCAGACTCTCAGAAACAAGGATCAGAGTTAAAGATCAAGTCTTACAGCAGTACAAAAGGCTATTAAATTAGTATTTAAGACCATAAAATGAAACAGGTACCAAGGCCTGAATGCATGGCTGATCCCTGCTGCCTACCTACTAAGCATAGGTACAAAGCACCTTCATAAATAGCATTTTCCATAATTTGCAGAAATACTTGTTTGCTGGTACAGTATATTTACATGCCAATTTTTAATGAAATGTTGTGGGACACTGCACCAGACATTTCCACACTCCTGCATCAAATGATGTAAACATACTATTATAGAGAAAAATACAATGCATTATACATACACACAATGCATGAACTTTACTGGTAGGAATTCAATTTACATTATAATTACTTCAACTAAGGAGCCAACATCACAAAATAAGCATCAATTCCACTAAAGTAACAATTGCAGAGTTACTATGCAACCAACTCTACATCTCTTTGTTCTACCTTCTTTACATTCTTGGCTCCTCTCCGTTACAAACTGATTACAGCATAGCTCGCTTTGAATTCTCTGTAGTAACTGCCTATGTCATCTAACACCCTCAACACACCTTTCTCTGTTATTACCCCTCTGTGCAAAGCCTGGACACTTCAGTGTTGCCAATCTATTGTCCCAAAGGTGCTGAGAATTTTCATGAAGACAAAATGAATCGCAAACAAAATATGACTAGTAAATACTAAGCCTCCCTCTGGCCAAAGGCAATGAATTCTCTCACTGGTTCGTTCTAAGGTAGCATTATTTAATCCATACATTTCTTTCCAACTTGCTCCTACCTTTCAATCTAATACTGTTTTTTTCTATGGAAACTTCAGATTTTTTTTTTCTGCTGTAAAGAGTTACTAAGGCTCCAGCCGATAAGCCTCACCTGATGGTTATGGTTTGCACAACTACCAAAGAGATTCAACAAGCAGCTGTAACCACTGATAAATCCTTGGGCTTTAGGTGATGACTCTGACTCACAATAGTTAAGAAAACAGGACAAGTAGCAAAGCAGGATTTAATAATCCCCTGGTCTGCAAGGTACATTTGCTATAAAGTGATTCTAAGTTATTTATAGCCACAATGACTATAACCAATTTCAGATTCTGCAGACAGTATACCTTAAAATAACTTTTTAAAAACTATCCTGAGAGCTGATTTTAAGTACTGCAACAGAATAATCAAATGTAACAATTTCCTCCCTACTTAGCAAGTTATAAAACGTAAAATATTTTGCAGAACATTTAGTGGACATACACAATACCAACTGTTCTATTTACTTGGTTCCTCACATAAATTCTTCCTAAGGTAGAAAGGAGGCTTAACACAGTTGTCCTGTAATTGTGCATTTGAGGCAGGCAGGCTACACTACGTTCACAAGAATGCTGTCACTAGCCTACTAAACTACCTTGTTCACAAAATAGATTTCAATTTAGATGCAAAGTAATTTCCATAGCTTGGAGCCATTAGAAGTTTACTGGAAGCTAGCTCGCTATAAGCACTTTCAAGGGGGTGGGGAGTTCCCTGTTTGGAAGACATGCTATCAGCCACTGATTCCCAGGACCACTATATCCTACAGTACTCCCTAGGACGGCAAAGCAACCAAATCTTATCACAAAGTTAAAAGATTTTTCTCATATAATTATTTCTTCTTCATATGTAAAACTGCAGCAAAAATAATGCTGTTTTCAGCTGGCTGAAATGCAGTGCCTAAACAACTTTTCACACAAGACACTGTACCTACAGTATCCTTTGATATCAGAGACTGCCATATATCAGTTTCTAAGATAGCAGCATCTTTTGCCTTGGCAATTATCTTCTTCCAAGTCAGATACACTTGAAATTTAACAGGAGCAAAACCACTTCTTAGCTGGAACACCTTTGTTTCAGGGTAATCCCTCAGAAAAAGTAGAAACAAGGATGTCAGTGCATGCCTTAGTAACTGAGGTCAAGAACACAACTGTTTTTATGGGAACTAGAAGTCTGTCTGAATACAGAAGACACATGGACCACTGCAAGATCTCCAGCTACACTTATTTAACAGTCTTGTGCTCTTCCTTGGTCACCTTTATCCAGCACGGCCTTATCCTCCCCATGCCCATCCCTTTCCCCTCAATAGCCTACTGTTTCTATGGGTTTTTTATCTAAAGAGTATGTGACCACAGGTGACAGACATTACAAAGAATGCACAGCTAGGAAACATTCCAGTTTTCACTTTCTTGGCTAAAACAACCCCACAGCATTATTACAACAATGTCGAAGAACACACAACTCAAAATACTTCACCTTAGGAAGTAATCTTTCCCTTACTCAAATTCAAAAGAGCACTAAAAAGCAAAGACCAAGATCAAGGAATTTGCAATAGTTGAGTAGTACACTCACTATCAAGCAACACAGCTTATTTAACATCACAGTTAATCTCTCACGCAGTGGACTGAAGGTTTTTTTTGATATTTTTTGTGCAACATTATGTCACATTCTCCTATTTCTACAGAAAAGAATAAAGGGTAAACAGGACTAGCACTATCAACTTCTCAAATTTCCACCATTTGGAGGCTTCCATAAAAAACGTTTGACAAACTGTCATGCAACCACAGACTGAAGGATTTATATTTACACCAGAGATTGACATATCAAACAGTTGTTTTTCACTCTATTAAGAATGCTCACAGTTTCCCAGGATTTAAATGTTGAGGTACGTGCTATTAGATTAATAAGTCAGCCAAAAAGAAGTGGATTTAAAATTAAAAACCAGTTATAATCACTACTAATTACCCTGAAAACTAACAGAAGAGCAGGATCTTCTTCCAGTGCAGCCCCTCTCTCAGGAGCGCCTTTCTTTTCAGTTTAACTTTCAGTGGAAAAGACAAAGAACAACTGACAGGTTATGGAGAGATCTGAACATAAAACTGTATGTGAACTGAAATGCCAGCAGAGGCACATACTGCTTACACTTCTGGACGTGTAAAGTTTTGCAGTGCAGAATGCAAGTCTCTTTCAAATAAGAACTGGAAATGAAAGCACTAAACAAAACATCAGGGTCCTTTTGAGTCTGAAAAAAAAACATTTTGGCATGCTTTCTGCCTGGACGGTTTGGGGATGCTGCAAAACAAACACACAGATCGCTCTTCAGGTGGCTCTTGGGATACTTATGGCCCACTTAACATTTTCATTTTAAAGACTCAATTAAGAAGGAGCTGAAGCTATTAACTTCCCTTGAAAAGAAACCCAACAGCAAACACTAACTCGCTTACCTAACCAAATAGGTGAGCATCGCAAGGCTCTTTCATTTGGGGAACTTAATAGTATGCTTCGCACTTCTCCCTTGTGTTACAAGCAAACACAACATCTAGTTACCAGTAACTACAGAAAAGCCCAGCACATGAAAGAGGGCAGCTATTAAATGTTACAGGAGCCCTGTTCTTACTCACCCTAGAACCGCAGCGCCCACATACACGCGCAGGGTCTCCAGCACCCGGCCGGGGCAGGAATCGCCGCTGCAGCCGCCGCTCGGTCCCGCCGGGCCGGTGGGTGAGCACCCCGACCCCCTTCCCCGCCGGCCCCGGGCGGGGCCCCTTTGTTCGGGGCGCCGCCGCGGCCGCGCCCCACCCTCCGCAGGTACGGGCGGCGCCCGCCACCACCCGCGGCCCCGGGAAGCCGCACCCGGCCCCGCCGCAACAGGCGGCCGGAGCCCGGCGCGGCCCCGCCGCCCCCTGCCCGCTGTTCCCGCGCCCGGGCGGGCCGCGAACGCAGGTCGCCAAGGTCGCCGCCCGTAACCTTCAGGGAGCGGTCACCAGGCCCCCGGCAGGAGGCTCGGGGCGCCGCCCGCCCGTCCCCACACGCCGCGGTGGGGCCGGCAGGCGTACACCGCCGGCCAGGGACGGCGGGGCGGCAGCCGCACCCCGACACCAATTCCCGGGCGGTGCAGAGCGGCGGGCGCGGAGCCGCCGGAAGCCCCCGCCCGCACCGCACAGCAGCTTCCCCCACACCGGAGAGCTCCCGAGGCGCGGGCGGAGCCGGGTCCTTGGGCTCCCCCCGGCCCCAGCCCTGGCGGCTTCGCCCCGGCGCGGCCCGGCCCGGCCGCGCGCCCCCGTCTCACCTGCGGCGGTGGTGCCGGCGGCGCCCGAGGAGCGCGCGAGGTGAGGCCCTGGCGCCGCCCCCGCGCGCACGGCCGGCGGCGCGCGCGGCCCGGGGCGGAGGGCGGGCGGGGCGGGGCGGGGAGCGCCGCCGCAGGGGCCGCAGCGTCGTCACCGGGCGCGGCCCCGCCGCCCCCGCCCCGCGGGCGGAGCGCGGTGTCAGGCGCCGAGGCGTGCAGGCGCAGTGCCGGCCAAGGGGGAGCGGGGCGGTGCGGCCGGACCCGGTTCCCGGAAGGGGGCGGCCGCTTCCGTCCGCGGCGCGTGCGGGGCCGGGCCCGGCGGGGCGCGGCGGGGGCGGGTAACGGGAGGGGCGCGGCCGGCGCCTTCCCGGGGCGCGTCGTTCCGCTGTGGAGTCGTGTCCCGCTTGTCGCACGGCACCATAACTCCGAGCCTCACACGGCAGCTGCTTTCCTTCCTGCACCTCCTCCTTTGTTTCAGCCGAAACTCTTAAGGGAGATAGATAGTGAGAAAACATTGTAGCTCGATGTCTGTCCCTCCTTCCCAGCTAATCCCTCATCTGGAGAATAGAGGAGGCGTGTCCTGCCGTGGTAAGGAGATAAATTCCGGACATCTGTCGCTAGGTTTATATATACAATTATTTTTAGTGGAGCATTCCTCAGGACAGAAGTGTAAGCTGGGAAGACATTTAATATACTGAGTTTAAGGAAAACGATCACTGGCAGAAGGGAACATGAAGCAGTGAGCCTCTTAAGAGAGTTTTGCTTTTTTTTTTTCTTAATTTCTTTTTTATAGTAATGGGCCACTCCATGTATGGAGGATTTTACAGATGCCAAACAGAACGGGGAGATAGGAGCGTTTCCATGTTAATTGCAATCATTCAAATAATAATAATAAGAGTGCCTTAATAACTGTATCTTTTACTCCTAAATTGTGGATATAAAGAGGAGCTTTGCACAAACACAACATGATTTAAACTCATGATGTAAGTGATGTAATGAAACCTAAGCATAATATGCATATATCAAAACTGACTGCTCAGTGTGTGTCTTTGGTTTTCACACTATAAGCACTCACAGACAATACAAATTGTTTTGAAGCATCCACTCATCCACAAAATTGTTTGGCTGAAGGTAGTTTCCAAGTCTGGAAATTCCAGATTTTATCACCTCAGATTAAAATTTTGATCTTGGTGTTCACCTCATGGAACATGCACTTTGCTTGCAAAGCAGGTGCACGTTAAAATTTTCATTGTTCTCTGTGCTGGTTTCTGAAATTTTTGACGACTTGACATTTTGACATAATTTAGCCAGTGTTCGTATTCCTCTGGAATTTCGTTTTGTTGGCCTCACATTTCATTATGAGCTAATTTTTGCAAATTCCTGAGAGTTTGAGAAACTGATAGCAATCCAGATGCAATTAATTCTGATTAAAATATCTAAATACATCCATTTACGCAAAGAAAGATTGGATTCTGTTAAATGGAGAGGGCAGGGGAAAAAAGGAGGAGAAGAAAAGAAAGCTAGTAACACTGAGTCAACCAAATGTTGAAAATAAAACATTTTTGATATTTCATTAAAAGAAAAAGTTTTCATAGTATATGTCATAAGACTTTTCATGAGACCATGAAAAGGCTGAAAGAGTCTTTGCATGATCCTGTACAAATAATGATTCAGGAGTCCTCAAGAAATCCTGGCCCAACTTCTGCAGCCCTTTGAGTATCTCTGTGCTGTATAATTTTTTAATACTTATTCCAGAACACTTCTGTTGCAAAAGAGTGGGTGAGTCTTAGTTAAGGTCTCATTAATACTGATGTCTGCAGGTGTTCAGTACTTCCTTAATCCTGCTATACTAGAGCTAGTCCAAAATAACCTTTGTCCTGTAAGACGCACAGTGTACTTACCCAGATGTTGGTAGCAGCTGTTTCACTCTCTGAAAATGCCCCTTTGCATAAAATGATTTGGGTTGGAAGAGACCCTAAAGATCTAATTCCAAATCCCCTGTCAAGGGCAAGATGACACCCACTAGACCACGTTGCTCAGAGCCCAATCTAGGCTAGCCTTTATCACTTCCAGGGATAGGGTGTCTGCAGTATCTCTGGGCAACCTATTCCAGTGCCTCACCACTCTCAAAATAAAGAATTTCTTCCTAAGATCTAATCTAAATCTAATTTTTTAGTTTATAACCATGTCCTATCACAAATATGCTCATGTATGACACTGCTCTTTTTACCCTTTAGGTACTGGAAGGCCTCAATGAGCTCTCGCCAGAACCTTCTCTTCTCCAGGCTGAGCAACCTGAGCTCTCTCAGCCTTTGTAGGAGAGATGGTTCAGTCCTCTGACCATTTTTGTGGCCTCTTCTAGACTCTCTCTGGCAGGTCCACATCTTTCTTATGCTAAGGACTCCATACCTGGACACAGCACTCTACTTCAGATCCCATAAGGGCAGAGTAGAGGGGGACAATCACCTACCTTAACCACCCCTCTTTTGATACAGCCAAGGATACCGTCTGCCTTCTGGGCTGCAAATGAACCCTCTAAGTCCTTCTCAGCTCAGTTGGTTTCAACAAGCTCTTCTCCCAGTCTGAACTCATGTCTGGTATTGCCCTGACCCAGGTGCAGCACTTTGCACCTGGATTTGTTGAACTTGAGGTTCCCATGGGCTCACTTCTCAAGCTTGCCCACCTGAATATGATCTTTCTGTTGTACCAACTGCACCACTCAGCTTCACAGGTCTGGAATCTTGCTGGGGTGCACTCAATCCCACTGACAGTGTCATTGATAAAGGAAGGTATTAAAGAGCCCTGGTACCATGATAGGCCCCTGAGGGACAGAGCTCATCACCAGCGTCCACCTGGACATAAGAGCACTTACCACAACTCTGGCTGCATCCACCCAGCCAATTCCTTATCCACTGAATATTCCATCCATCAAATCCATGTCGTCATTTTGGAGATAAGGATGTCATGTGGGACCAGCTTAGAGAAGTCTAGGTAGTTGACATCTATCAGTCTTTGCTTGTTAACTGTTGCTGTCACTCCATTGTGGAAGGCCACCAGATGGGTCAGGCATGATTTGCCCTTAGTGAAGCCATACTGGCTGACTTGGATCATCTCCTTGTATTGTATGTGCTTAACATTGTTCCATGAGTATGTGCTCCACAGTCTTCCCAAGAAGGGGGAGGTCTCTGGTATGTCCTTCCTTGGGTCTTCCTTTCTCCCCTTTTTAAAAATATGAACGATGTTTCTCTTTTTCCAGTCACTGAGCACTTCACCTGACTGCCAGGGTTTTCCAGATATGGCTTGGCAACAACATCAGTTCCCTTAGGACCCTGGGATGCATCTCATCAGGCCTTAATAGACTTGTGGCTATTCAGTTTAATCAGGTGGTCTTGAACCTGCTCTTCATTTTACAGTGGGAGAGACTTCATCCCCATTTTGCACCATGCTGCTTGTTAATGAATGTGGTCTTTGTCCTTTTAATCTCTCTTTAGAGCTATCTTAAAAAAAAAAAAAAAAAAAACTTATTTTGAATTTCTGTTTTGTGGCCCAAAGTGCATGTTGTAATGCAATAAAAAATAGTTTATAGTATACCTTTCATTTTCTGCTTGGATCTGTCCCCTGGCATCTTACCTAAACCAAGTGGAAAAAAAATGAGCACTTTAACCCAAAACTAAAAGACGTATTTCCATGAAAATGCACTACATTAATAATTCCTATTCAATTACTAACAAGTGATTGTAGCAAGAGTGTCTCTAGAGCACCTGGAATATTTTATGTCATGACTCTGGCTCCTCTGTGTAAGAGAGCAACTGGTCAGAGGAGAGTAGGTATTGCAGCTATTTCTTTGTCTGTACTAAGGGTCCACAGCCCAAGGCAACAAGAGGTTTAAATTACTCTCTGGTGTTCAAATGCTACAATAAGTACCTGAAACCATACAGATTTTACCATACAGGTAGTGTAGTAGATATTTGCAATGTGGCTATAAAGGGTGTAGGTAATGAATGAAGCCATACAGGTACTGTAGTAGATATTTGCAATGTGGCTATAAAGGGTGTAGGTAATGAATGAAACCATACAGGTAGTGTAGTAGATATTTGCAATGTGGCTATGAAGGGTGTAGGTAATGGATGAAACCATACAGGTAGTGTAGTAGATATTTGCAATGTGGCTATGAAGGGTGTAGGTAATGAATGTCTTTTGTTATGTATTAGCATCTGTGCCATTACAACTCTGCACATAAAATTCTTGAAGGGAAAAAATTGTGAAGAATAATTAGGTAGAGATGTAATTAATTGTGTGCTAGTAGTACTTGCATTATGTACCTTAATACAACTAAGAAATCAACTGACAAATATTTTATTTATTTTAAAAAGCCAAAGATACAGTGGACATGTCAGACAAAACATGTCTGAAACTTAGGGAAAAACATTGTTGTGCAACTTCCATTCCCACAGCGCAAAAAGTACTCGTTCCCTTTACTTTAGCGCACATTTAGTAGCACAAAATTTATATTTAAAGTATGCATAATTTAACACTGTAATTTTATCTTAGATTTCTGTTGACATGAATAAATGAACCACATTCTTTGGAAAACCATCTTATCATGCATAAAACATCCATTCTTCTTCAAGTGCTCAATAAATCTTCCACGGTGAGAGAGGCTTAATTTTTTGAAGGGACAAAAGAGTAAATGAACAAACCCACTTACTGGTTCTTGAGGGCACCCTCCTATTTCAGCCCTTTCTGCCCAGAATTGATTACCGTGGCATCTGCTGGGTCTGTGGGTGTGTGGGCCTTTGTGTTGTGAAGTACTGCTGAACTGAAATCAATACATGGAGGTAAGGTTTCCTGGTATTATGGTTAATTTCTTCTCTTTTAGACTGATGGCACAACTGTATTAAAATTTATTAGACAACACTTTATTACCAGTGTGTAAGGATGGATAAAATGTATTTGTAAATTAATGGAGTTTATCAGTAGCAGGTCAGTTGAAAAGAAATCACCCCATTAAAATGAAAGAGCTAGAAGCTTTTATCCACCTTC